GATTTTATTATAGTTTCCCAAATTCCTCTATTTCCTTTTTTAAGCGAGAATCACTGCTATAATTTGCCTTCTCTGGCATGCATATTTTCTATTTTCAAGATCCCTCTTCCAGAGAATGCTTCTTCACCCATTTTGTTTTATCAGTGTGGACACCATTCACAATCCAAAGAAGTGATAGACTTTCCCCCGCCCCAAATGGGCCTTTCTAAGGGATTTAATGCAGTTTTACTTTTCGGTTTAGAAGACTGAGACATGCACTACTCATTTACAACTCTTTTTTATTCCACAGTTGAAAACTACTGCTCTAAGAATTAGTCGTTCGTATTTCAGGGAAGTTAAGAATAAGTCCAACAGGCAGAAGAATGAATAGAAAAAGCAAAAGTCATAGTGTCTTCTCTGTGCTTTTGACTTTCCTGCTTCTTGTGATAGTCATGACCTTCCAATTCATTTCCCTACAGAATGATTTGCCAAGAAAAGGAAAATTAAATTGTACCTGAGGAAGTGGCATTGTGTCGAGGCTGCAGTAGTATTTGATGATTGTTTCTAGACAATAAATATATATTCCAGAAAGCTTAGAAAATGCAACCAAAATGTCCTCTTACTTTGGCAGCTACTCAAGAAAAAAACAAACAAACAAACAAAAAAAACTATGATTTCTACATCTTCATTTTCTCCTATCAGCCAGAATTAAAAAAAAAAAAGTTATATTCATAAAGCAAAGTATATGAGCGGAAAGAATAGATGGTTTATCCTCATGCACTACCCAAAATATTGAAGGTCTCAGCCTGATTTTAATTGAAATACATACCCAGAATGAATGAATGTCAACAAGATTTTGAAGTAGTTTGATATACTGGGCAGGAGGGTGGAAATAGCTTTATTATTAGATTACCTGGGATCAGATACTACATAGCATGTCTTTAAAGCTGAGGGTTCTGGTACCATTTCATACACTCAAGGGTATGTGGGAATTAATGTCATGCTCAATTGTGCCTGGCATTACTTATTTATCCATCCACACATTTATTCATTTAGGCAATACTTTTTTTTTTTTTACATTTATTTATGCATACAGAACTGGGGTACAGGTCAGATGTGCAGGGGCGGTGAGAGGATTCACCAGAGACAGAGTGGGGAGCAGAACAGGCCGACTGACGAAGTACACTGCTGAGGGGAGCAGTGGGCGGGTGAGGAGAGGTCTGCTGCACCATGTGGGTCACTTCCGGGGCAGGTGGGGATCGAACTCATGTGGAAGTGGCTTTAGCTTCTTAGTGCTGTGCTTTAACCCACTGTGCCACCAGGGAGGGCCCCATTTAGGCAATACTTTTAAAATATAATAGTTAGCATGTGCCATGCACTGTTCTAATAACAATAAGGGAAAACCCAAACTCATCATATATTATCATGCCTGGCAACTAAGAACAAGTCAATGAACTATATATATAGGAACTCGTAGGGAATAATCCAGGATAATTTTATGCTTGTTGACAGGACAGATCATCAGAAATTTATTTATTTGCTGATTGCTTGCTCCTACAAATTTAATAATGACTGATACCCAACTGATATTTAATAATTTTGAAAGAGGCTCAAGTTGTACAAAATAGAGGTCAATAAATCCAACCTAGTGTTTACTGACAGACAATGAATGGTTCAAAGAAAAGCAAAGTCAGAATTATGATTGTCCTCATGGTTCTCAAAATTTTGTTTTTGCATGTAGAAAGGCAACTTGATTTGTGCTTCTGGAGAACTCAAGCTTGGCTGAAATCCATTTTCTTATCCCAGTGTCCCAGGTAGACTTTTTTTTTTTTCTGATAGAGATATTTCACCTTTCAGTTTCCCTTGAAATTAATCCACAATAAATTATTAAATATAAGATTTTTCAATTGCATATTAACTTTATCAGCAGAAAGGAAAATATGTAAATGAAATGTTATATACATAACTGCTAAACATCTATAACCTCTCCGGAAGTGGTTATATTGTTTCTATGAAATATACGTCCAATTACTTTAAAAAAATGAATTGATATAGTAGGTCATTTGCCACATAGAATCTGTGTGTGTGGAAGTACAATTCTTGAAAATCTGTTGTTCTTCTACTATTTAAAGATAAGCACATTCAGGTATTATTACATCAATGAGAATTTCAGCCTCAGGAAGAGTAGCTTAGTGCCTTGTAATAGCATAAACTCCTTCAAGTGATCTACTGTGGGCTACGTTTAGATAAGATGACCAATGATAACCTCCTGCATTAAAATAAAGTGAAATGTCAAAGGTGGCTAAAGCCAAAATCTTCACTAGGGCCAGCTCATGGGGTATATGGAAGTTGATTTAAAGTTTCACCATTCCCTCACGTTTCCCAGCCCATGTGCTCTGGCCATCTCGGCTAACAAATAACAATGAGGAAGCTGTGAACCAATCTTCTCCCTTGGCTCAAAACATGGGTGCTCAGAATTAAGCATGCATCAGAATTATGTGGGAAACTGTTTAAAATGCAGATTTCTAGGCCCTGACACTGTCTGGTTTGCTAGGTTCAAGAAATTGCATGTCTCACACAGTTCCTGGCTTAAGTCATGGTGGGAAAAAATTCACGGCAGATGTAATGTTTAGACCAAACTGCTGAGATGTGCTGTGATAGGTAATTAGACTCGTTTCCTTCAGGTAAGCTGAATGATCGCCTCTTTTGTTGTGGTGACTTCATCCAATCACTCACACAGAGGGATTCACCAGCAAGAGGGAGCCTTCTCCATGCAGGTTATCTAGAAATATTAGGGACGATGTCGCTTAGGGACGTTCTCTCCATTGAGTGCGCTAGAGGGATGCACTATGTCTGATTCCCATGCAGAACATCAAGCAGCTCGTTCCTTGTGCATCTTCTTCACATGTACTCATGCCTCTCAAGCGTTACCTTGTCAGCCAACACACCTGCACTAGGAGACCTTTTGAAATGAAAGGGAGAAGAGGGTGCTATACCTTTTCTTTGTAACTGTGTGAAGGAAGTCACTTGCCAAACTCTCCTATGTAAATATCCATACCTGTGAGCTGTCCACAAAATTTATCTATATTTTACAAAGGTTCTCTCTCTGTACTTTCATCCTTCTATTTAATGAACTAAAAAACCCTAGGGTTTCTCTCTCTCTGCACTTAAATGCCAAGGCAGATATGCTAGCTATTGAAACATAGTGATTACAGTTGCATTCCTGTCTACTTGGATGAGGTCTGAACCTGTTTGGGAAACATGCACATTATAACACTTATCAGAATTCTGTGTTATCAATAAATGCTACAGGTGGTCATTTTCTCAAAAAGTCACAAAAACGATAATGACTAAGGAGCGTTGAACATTTTCTAAGAGGCACATTCTAAATTGAGACTGACGTGAATTTCTGTAAATACTCCATCCATCAAGGGGCTCTTTTTATGTGTTTTTAAGGAAACTAAGTTTCAGGAAGAGTTAATTAGCTCCCTCAATGATACCCAGCCAGTAGAGAGTCAAACTCTAGTTTCCACACAGGCAGCTTTATTTCAGAGGCCATCACCTGATGACCACTTCACTCTCTGAAGCCAACATCTTATAGCTTGTGCTGGGTTTTGTTTAATAAACAAACAAACAAATAAATAGATTAAAAGATAAATAGATTAAATAATTAATCAATAAAAATATTTTAAAAAGTCACTCATGCCAAGAACAATTATAAGATTTTGTTGAAGGTCCTTCAGAAAATAAAACATCGAGCAAGTATGAATGGGTTCCATTTAAAAAAGGAAGACCTAAGAATTGAGAAAATTAACTTCATGTATGTCTCATATTACCTTCATCCACTGCTTATCAAATACCTTTTGCTAGAGACCATGCAAAACCCCATCACTGCTGAAAGTGTTTTTAAATTGTCATTCTCATACTTTTTAGGTGATTAGTTCCAAGACGGTGATGTCCCTTTCTGAAAAAGAAGTGATCCATTGTTGTTCTTTAATGAAACTGGCAAAGTTGAAAGGGACATAATTGTTCAAACAGACATATTAGGCAACATCACTACAGTCTCCAAAGCCTGAGAGCATTTCGCTGTTAATTTTTTTCTGGTAATCTGATACCGCGTTGACTGTCATACTTCAGACCTTTCTTTTTGGTAGAAATGACATTGTAGCTATTTACAATAGAAGGATAAGCTATAATTTTTGGTACATTAGCGGTTTCCCATTGTTACATTTTGGAATGATTAATATTGCAGTCTCATAAATATGAATTATGAAGCTAATTCTCTGACATCCCAAGAAACAACTTAGTACCAAGTTAATGCAGCTTTGCAATTGAAATACACACAGTCAACCGGCACCAATTCCGAGTGTGTGTATCTACCCAAATAGTGTTCTGCACAGTGGTAATTCTCCTAATCCCTGCAATTTATTCATCTCAGGATACACTCCACAGCCTTGTTTGCATGTGTTATCCGCTCGCTTTAAAAACAGTATTCATTATTGGGAGGGAGCTGACGTGATGCGTCAGAAAGGCTTCTTGCAGTGATGTTTGTGCTGAGGAACATTCTTGTGGGCAAACCCCTGTAACTTGATCAGCAAAATGCATCAGCAGTTGTAAGGATTCCAGATGTAAGTACTTCACTTCAAGACTCCCGACCCTCCCCACTATAACTATTGTGGTTCTTCCTCATCTCAGCCTAGATGCCTGTTTAAACTCAATTCACAAACAAGCCTATCTTTGGCAAGTGGAATTTTCAAATATCCTTAAGTTTGTTATTTCAAGTCACAGACATCCACTGGACCCAGGGGGAGAGTCTTCATTTCTATCATATCAAATCAAAAGTTTTAGAGTGATGACTGTTCCTCCCTATTATTGGCAGAAACCTTTCATGACCACCTCGAATAGTAAGCTGGATTCCATGAACCCAATATCAGACCACAAAAGGGATGTCACTCAGCGTTAAAGGCAATACAAGCCCTCTGATGTCATCAGAAATGCTGACGTCAAGTTTTATGTTACAGGTCATTCAGACAGTCAGTGCCATGGACAAAGATGATCCCCAAAATGGACATTATTTCTTATACAGTCTTCTTCCAGAAATGGTCAACAACCCGAACTTTACCATCAAGAAAAATGAAGGTAAATATATGTGTTGTGAAACAGCATAGACTATAAATTGAAAAATAGAATGTGATGTCAGAATATGACTGAAAATATCAGCAAAATAATTTGGATCCACCTTCAACTGCTGGAATCCAGCTTATCAGCCTAAGGGCTCGATGATCCTATCACTTCCTCTTTCCAATATTGAAACAATAGATAAAATTGTTAATGTGAACATTAGTTTTATCTCAGGGAATATTTCAATCACCTTCTTTTAAAAATGAACCATAAGATTTAACCCCTGTGAAAGCACCAGGATTTCTGAGATACTGAGCTATCTGTGAGAGGAGGAGCTGGCTTATATTTTGCAGTTGTTAAGTTTTAATTGAATGTTTACCAAGTCTTTAGGGAAAGCTATTCTAATTTTGCCTGGTTTGTGGGTACACATTGGAGGTATTTGTTTTAAGCTTGTACCAACTTTGACAATAGCAATTAGATCAGAAAATCCTTCTTGAAGGACACTCCTTATCAGTATTATTTTGGAGCTAATATAAACTGATTTTATTGCTAAGACTTTCACTCATGAAGAACATTTAATCCATTTCACTATTTCTTGAGAAACAGGCTTGGATTAACGAGTCCCCTAACTGTTGTCTATTACATATGAAGGTCATAGATCATTAAAAAAAAAAACAAAAAACTATCGCATCTGTACAATTTTGTTTCTTAAGCTGCTAACAGAGATTTTTAACTGTTTATTTTGGCTCAGCTGTACTAAAGTCTTCGTTTCAGTGGTTTTAGAATGATTAGCAAAACAAATATGTTGTTTCAGGCTATCTGCCTTAACTGGAAGCATTTGTATAGATTTATGAATGGTCCTTATAAAAGCAGTACTCAATTAGAAAATTTACTTTATGACATTTGTTTGGCTTAGTTGATGTGTTCTGTTTCAAGGAGGTAATGAATCATGATAGACTTCCTTTATGAAATAAAGTAACATTTTATGGCACTTGAAATATATTATAGCTTTGCTTTTAACATAATGCTACTTACTACTTTGGGGATGTTTTGATAAATGTGGATGCAACATAGAAAAGGAAAAAGAAAGTTGTTCTGTAGGTAAGACTCTTTCAGCTGCTGGCCACAATTATAAACACTGAACATACAATATGCTGCTTTTTCTCCCCAACTATGGGCTAGACTTGTTAGGTCTCCCTAGCTAGGAACTCTAGTCCAAGTATATTGCGTTTGGTTTTTGTTAACTCTCCCAGTGTTATTTCTGGAAGTCGCATGATTGTGCCTAAGATCAAAGCCCCCTCTGACATCCCACACTGAGCAATCTGTGCCTAAGTGTGGCTTATTTCCATGATAAGCTAATTCTTATCAATCTCTATTATTGCATATAAAATACCCTATAGTTAAATATGCTCTCTGAAGAAATGTTTTCCCATCTCAAAGGTTCTGAGCCACTGGGCATTTGCTGTGTGCTTGACAATTTCAAGGTAGGCCTGTTCCTGGCACTGCTCTGTCTGACGTCATGTTGTAGAAGGAGAATTTGTGATAAGGCGACAAGAGGTTGTATAACTGTGGCCTCTGTTAGCCCCAAACTTTGTGAAGAGACTTTTTAGACCTACATGAATGCATTTTATGTGTTTTCTCTAATTGGGGGAGTTGGTAGAAAGTAAAGTGTTCTACACTTAAGGCCCTACTTTCCCCCCATCTCTCATTTAAGTAAACCCTGTAATGGAATATTTAAAGACATGTGGGTTATCAGTTTCATTTTTAAACCGGAAAATGGAATATACAGTTTAGACTTCTCACAGAGGAGCATGTGTGTGTGTGAAATTATTGAGGAAAAAGATAGCTGATACTGCAAAGTTATTTAAGAAAGAAAAAGCACCCTGGGCCCTCCCTGGTGGCATAACGGGTTAGGATGCATCACTGCAAGGGTGCCGCAACCACCTCAATGTGAATTTGATCCCCCGGCCAACCTTAACCACATGGCAGCAGACCTCTCCTGACCCGCCCGCTGCTCCCCTCAGCAGTGTGCTCATCAATCTGCCTGTTCTGCTCCCCACTGCCTCTGGTGAATCCTCTCACTGTCCTTATACTTCTGGCTTGTGCCCCAGTTCTGTATGCATAAATAAATAAAATATTTGTTAAAAAAAGAAAAAGCACCCTGATGAACATTTTTCTTTTAATTTTTGTGTAAACTAATTTTGCAAAGAGTGGCTATATCATCTTTTATTCTAACTGGAACTTATATATATATATATATATATATATATATATATATATATAATAGCTTATTTTTATATCATTTTGTGCATTTTTTCCATCTCGTTTGCAATCCTTGGGGGCTTCCCATCACCAAATCACCCTGTGTCCTCACCATAGTCCCGTGCATTTCCCTCCCCCCTCTGATTTTGATCCCATTCCCCACTCCACCCCCACAGAATGTCTCTGGTATTTAGCTGTTCATCATTATCATCATTTTCTTCCCTGTTCCATTATACTCCTGCTATGAGAGAAACCATCCAGTATTTTTCCTTTTCTTTCTGGCTTATTTCACTAAACATGATCTTTTCCTCTAAATGGAACTTTTTTATGTGAAAAGGGTTCTAATTACATGGATGCTTGGGAAAAAATATAAACTAGGACTGTCTTGCAGAAAGTAGGGTATATGAGTACTGTGATTTTTGGATTTAGGCTCCAAACATTCAAAATCTCCATAGAATAAGTCACAAACACATAGACCTGTGTTGGAATAGACATGTCAATTTTATACTTTATCTCCCTTTTCCCAGTAAAGTTTTACTGAAAACACCACTGGCATCTGGACAGTCACTGTGAAAATAGAAAAAAAAAAAAAAAAAAAACAAGTTGTCTTTTCTTAACATGTAGACATAAAACATGTAGAATTGACTGGTTTTAAATGTTGGAGATAAATAAATTAAAAGATCAAAAGATAGATTTTGTGCAATTTTTACATAGAAGGATTAGGGTGTAGGCCAGAGGTGTGGGGGATAAGAGGATTCACCAGATAGAGTGTGGAACAGAACAGGCAGATTGACTGAAACACGCTGCTGAGGGGAGCAATCGGCGAGAGAAAGGAGAGATCTGCTGTGCCACATGGGTCAGCTCCCTCACTAGGGATGGATCTCAGGTCCTGATAGTGATAATCTTGAGACTTAACCCCTAGGCCACCACGGAGGCCCTCAAATTGATTATCTTGTGAGTTGGTTACCCATTCCCAATTATAATGAGAGAACACAAAAACAACCAACATATCCACATAGTGGACATAATTTAAGAACAATGGTATATTTTATGTTTGAAACATGGGTACATTCACATGGTATAATCATAGGATTGCCTCCCTTCTCCCCATATTGAGCTTCAAATTATCAGTCACTGATGCTTCTTCACTAAGAGCATCATAATTCATAAGTTACCGATGAAGGTGAAGATTTTGAGGTAGTAACATATTCATTCCCTTTATTGAAGGGTGGATGACCCCCTAGTTAATTAGATTGTTAAAGGACATGGTTTCAAGATGTGGGATTTTCCAAGGAACTTGCAGTGTTTCGTTCAGCTCAAAGTTACCGTGATCTTTCTCCTCTGTCAAAAAGATAGATCCTACCGCAATTTTCAGCCAGCTAATTCATAATCAACGACAAAATGAGATAGAAATTAGCTGTCTCTTGTCTCCTACACAGTTGAGTGATTTCACAAATAATTCTCTTTCTTAATTTATGAGAATCAGATTTCTTCCAGAATAAGAAAGCAGCTTTCAATACAGTTAAAGGTAGAAATAGAGGTTAAAAAAAGAAAAAGAAAAAAGCTGATAATTCACTTATATTTCATGGCCACCCCAAGTAATCATAGCATATGATTTAGAAAATTATATGACCCAGATATTTTTTCTCTGTCTTCCAGTTGTTTGAATTTATAAACAAAAGGAGTTTGCTGACTGTATTTCAGTAGTGGCTTCTATTCCAGCTGTGAAAATAGAGGCTAACCAACAATTAAATATAACAAGAAAGGGAAGAGAAATGAACCTTTTACAGATCCAGAAATATGTTGCCTGCAGAAAATTTGACATCTGCAGAAACTTTTAGCCTATACATGGTAGATTAAAGCCTTGATTGGAACAGCCAGAAAGCATTCTGGTGAATTAGGAGTCTCCATAGTTTATACTGAAACATTTGAAGCATGTGGGTAAGGAAATGAGAAAAGAGAGAAAGTTCTACTCTTGAAGGTGAACCTGTAGGAAGGAAAGAACTAGACAGTAAGAATTTTCTTTGCCTGCAGCTTGGTTAGTCTTTTCAAAGACACAGAAGAGTGAGAATACTTGATGACATTTTTTTTTTTTCTGGATATCTCCTTTTTGACCAAAACCATGTTGACAAGAGCCTTTTTGTCTAGGTCTGTTTCTTACAATGAATTTGGCTCATTTGGATGATAGCATGTTTGGACAAATGTACTTTGAGTTATCTCTGTGTCCATGCCGAGGTTATCAGTTTGTGCTTCGCTTTGTGGGATTTACTTCTCAACTGAATAGCCATCTTCAAGCTGTATCTATTTTATGTTTTGTTTTGTTTTGAATCCACTAAAAGCATCTCTTGTGAGAACATGAACTACAGACAAGTCACTTGAAGGCTGTTTCCTCACAGATGTTGCCAGAATATGCCTGTGCAGCTTGGGGCCACACAGCTCAGCCTAAAACTTGGCACTCAGAAAACATGCCCTGATAAATGGGATGAGATCCTGCTTCTATGAATCTATTAACTCCTGAATTCTCATGCTTTATTCCACCTCCCCTGGCTTCTCATTCTCAACGTGGTCTCCTTCTGCGGCTTGAACGCTGTTGATGCTGGGAAGTTATACAGTCAATCTAAAAGTAGCCTCGTTGGGATTTGTTAAAAACCTCTCCCTCATGAGAATGTGCTGCAGAAATCTGCTTAGCAGGGTGTGCCAGTCTAGAGGGTATTAATACAGACAAATAAATAAAGGGGGGGGGGGAGGCAAAAGTG